ACTAAAACAGCAATTAGAATTGAGAGAAAAATCAATTCTACAACAAAACAGGACATTTAGTACAGCTAGGCATTAAAATCAGCAAATGCTTGGTTAAACATATACATTTTAACAGACATTAGAATACTGTGAAGGCTGGAACCTATCACTGTGGGCTGCAAAGAGAATGGCAGAACTATTTACCCCACCCCTCTTTGACTTTTCTGCATTTTGCTATGTCATAACCTGAAATTAAAATGGATTTAATTGGCACTGATCACAGTGAAAATGCAAAAAAAAATGTATTGTGGCACAAAACTTAAACAAACAGTGCTATTTGTTGGTTGCAAGAGTATTTACACCTCCCCCCCCCCCCCCCCAAAACTTGAGAGAAACACCTTTGGCAGCAAGCACTGCAGTCAGTCTTGTATGAGTCTTGTGTCAGACTTGTACATCTGGATCCTGCAGTGTTTGTCCATTCTTCCTGGCAAAAGCTCTGTCAGGTTGGGTGGGAAGTGTTGGTGAACAGAAACGTTCAAATCTTGCCACTCATAATCAGATTGAAACCTGGGCTTTGACTTGGCCACTCTTAAGACGTTCAGGTTGTTGTTTTTAAACCATTCTCATGTTACTTTGGCTGGGTGTTTAGGGTCATCATCCTGCTGGAATGTGAAATCTAGACCAGTCCCAGATCCTCTGCACACTGAAACAGAATATCTCTAGCATTGTTCTGTATTTGGCTCCATCCGTCTTGTCTGCTAACTTGACCAGTTTCCCAGTCTCTACCGAAGAAAAACATGCCGACAGCATGATGCCGTCTCCAGCAGTTCTCAGGGCAAGGAGAATGACTGGCTTTGCGCCACACTCTGGCACATTTGCAGCAAAGGCAGAAAGTTCAGTTTTGGTCTCATCAGGCCAGAGAACATTTCCCTATGTTTGACATTTGTCCTGCATGCCTTTTTGCTAACTCCAAATATGTTTGCTTCAGTAATGGCTTCCTTCTCACCACTCTTCCTTAAAGCTCAGTTCTGCAGAATATCTGGAGGACAGTTGTCCCCTGGAGATTTTTTCTCATTTCTGCTGCAGATCTCTAGCTCCTTCAGAGTTATCACTGCCATCTCAGTTGCTTCTTTTCAGGGTAAGAGGAAGCTCTAAAGATTGATAGAAGGCTTTTTATACACTGCCCCCACCAGCACACGCATCCAAAGCAAGTTTTTCCCACTTATTTCCATGGATATATTTCAAAATGGGAAAAGCTGGAATAATTTGTTATATGCCCCATTTGGTCAGGAGGTTCCAGTTATCATCATCAACATTGCCATGCTGATATTTAGTGCTCTGCAGGTACATTTTATAATGCTTAGTAAATATCACTACTTTTATTATATTCAATAATTAAATATTTCTTATATACTACTTACTACTACTCTGCAGGCTCTGGAACCTGCTCCCCAGTAAGGTGCATCTGGTGTTGATGCTTTATTCATTTTGGTGCAAGGACAAACCCCTTTCATTTTCCCTGTATTTAAGTTAACTGTGGTTTTAATATTGGTTTTATTGGATATTTATATCATATTTTATATGTTACCACCCTGCATTGCCATCCTGAGATGTTTGTATAGGATGGGGTAAAAATGCCCCAATAATAATAATTAATAATAATCATACTTTTTTTCTAAGAAATCAAGAAAGAGTTCACTTCCCTCCAAGACATAGTATCCCATATTCCCCAACTGCTTCTTGAGCCAAGCATCAGAGAAGGCAAAAGTGTATAAAGAGCAGAGAAGTCAAGCCACAGCACTGGAAGGATATAGTAGACAACCTGAGTAAACTGAAAAGTCTTAAGCTTAAATTACTTGCTTAAAGCCAGTAGATTAATTTTCTGTGATACATGTCATCCTTCTTCCCTGTCCATATAGAGTGCTTCTACTGCAGGGAGAAAACAGAACAGGTCTGAGATGCCTCAGGTCTTGTGTGACACATGCCCAGAAACAAAAATTCATGGGGTAGATTTAAATGAAACAGTGGGCTCACAAATTCCTCCCCTGTGGCCTATCATTATAGCTGAGGGCTTCCGTACAATGCACAGATCACACACCAGCCATCTGTGTAAGGCCTGAGCGCCTCACATCCATGTAAATAATGCATGTCTAAGCATTACCATGCAGGGCAAAAGGACTGGTGCAAGCCCAAGCTGTAAGGGACCCAGCATGGATGGCTACTTTAAGTACACAGAGCATTTCTTTTAAATAAGGCCTGCGTTACCAAGTAATGATATCTGAGAGAAAGAATGAAAACCTGACTTTTATTCAGGTACTCACCAAGTCCTTCAAAAATACTAATTTTCACAGGGAGAAAACCCACTTCTTTTGGAACCTCTTCCCACCAAAGAGAGACCTGACATAAGATGACGGATACGTCATAACAACACTATTTCAGGTTGCACAACTACATGGAGTGGGGAGGGTTCAAGACACAAAGAACCCACCCAACAGTGTAGCTCAGGGCACCTGTAACTATATATACAGCACCAAAGCCCAGCAAAGGCACCTCTTGGTCTCTGCTCCCCTACATTTCTTAGCTGGTGCATGCAATGTTAATGTTGAGCCTAGCTAAGAAATTGCACACCAAAAGGCCACATGACCCTGTCACCTCATTTTCAATGAGCTCCTTGGCTCAACTGATTACCCAATTCATCATGGTCTGATCATATTATAGTTCAGGTAAGCTCATTCTGTCCAAGTAAATGGATTTTCTGTCTGAATGGAGTAAAAAACACATTTTTATAGTTACTTCTAAAGAGCAACCTTGTCCATTTTGCAGAGACTTCTTTTCAGGTTGCTTCTCTGAAGTGCTAAAGTCTTGGAGGGCACCCCAGGCTTTAAGTGCTGTAAAATGTACTATAATCCAAAGTAGTGTACAGTGTTCCAAAATTTCTAGATTTTAACTACACAAGGGGTAGGTTAGCTACTTTCACTAATGCTAAATTTATTTCAGCTTATTCATGATGTTTTAAAATATCACCTCATTAGAAAAGAAAACAACGTATCTATATCATTCCCATAGATGAATATACCCAAGCATTTTAAACACACAAACAAAAGTCCTTACTGTTGGTTGACAAGGCCATCTCACTACCTCCAATCTTCCTAGTAAATGTTACGGATACTCCACCTCTCTCACCCAAGTTCACAGTAGCGTGCATTCTGTGACAAATTATCCACACATAATCACATTACTAGAATTTTTCAATCATCCCCTGTCCCCCTGTCCCACTACAAGAGTTACAAGAAATACTAAACGTTAAGTCCAGAAGAAAAAATAAATGGAACCTTTACAAACAAAGTTAAGAGTCTTGATGACTGTGAAAACACATTGCAATAAAAATAATATGTCTAAAACCATTCCTGAGCTATCCACATCTGTAATGGTTAGTACAGTAGTGCTTACTGCCCTTGTATCCGCAAGGCAATACAAAGAAGCTTCTTAAAGTCTACCTATAGCAGGTGTTAATGAAATAAACTGAACAAACTTTATATTTTCCAAGTGTGGTCAATAGTCTACCCTGTTTATTCAACTTGTGTGGCAAGAGGAAGAGGGATAGAGACAGGAAAAGACTCCCTATTATGGGCATGAGAAAGGGTACAAGAAGAATCCTAGATGTCTTGATATAGGCGGAGTTCCTCCCAGCTGGAGAACAAATCAGGAATAAAAGTAGGGCAAGGAAAATGGGTTATTTGTGACTACCCAACAGTATCAGCGATCCCTAGGAAGCAAAGTGGGTCAAGCCAAGGGATCCAAGTTAGTCGTTACCCGTCATTCATGCAGCTCCTCTATGAGAAACAGCCCTTCTTCAGAGTACAACCTCCCACCAATATGAAGTGAAGATCCTGATCTGATCTGATCTGATCCTGATCCGCCTTAGGCTATCCTTTTTGGTTCCTTCTGGAGAGATCTTTGCCACTGGGTAAAATAATCCAGCTCAGGAAGTGCCTATCTATGTCAGTGTTTATTCTTTTGGTGTAAGGATCCAATGCCCATATGAAATTTACCAGCCAACATTAACCAATACTAGACAAAGAAGTTCCCATGATAAGATTATTTTCTGCGTTTTGAAAATCTGGGCTGTCTAGTTTTTATGACTGAAAGAAGGAACAAGACATGGAACAACATTATTTCTTCCTAATTATTTTTTCATGCATGAGTAAATATATCTATTAAACTGTTCATCCAATTAAACAAGAGGTTCTTGCAGATTTTAATCTGTTCATAGATCAGAAAGTCTACGAACAATAGAACTTGGTTGAAGGTCTTTGCTACACTGACTTCCTTTGCTGTATTGTCTCACTTTATCTCACTTGGACCAAGACAAATTACTTACAAGTTATTCTTCTTAACCATCATACTTTCTTATTAGTTGCTTAAACTGAAAGACTATATATCATCAACCAAGTTTATATGTAAATTAAATATAGACAATCTCTTGCTTAACAAGGAGAAGAGTTATTTCCTACTTAAATATATATTTAGGACACTCTAAACTACTGAATATTTTAAACACTATCGCTAATAGATCTCTCTCTCTCTCTCTCTCTCTCTCACACACACACACACACACACAGAGAGAGAGAGAGAGAGAGAGAGAGAGAGAGAGAGAGAGAGAGAGAGAGCGAGCACAAAGAAGTGAGAAATGGGAAAGTTCAAACAGCAGACAGCAGGCAACTAAAATCCAAAGTCCTCTTAGGAAGTGATAACCAAAGAGATGAACCTGTTCCGGAAATATTTTCTGGAAGATTTCCATGGTCTGTTGTTTTCTGGGCAAGTAACTGTAGGCTGTCCTGTACTGAGGACATTCCATTCAAACGTTTTGATAGAGATAAACTAAAATCTGCCACACATGAAAATCAGCCACTAACACAATTTAGACACATCAACACATATTTAGAAACATATTGCTACAGCTAGTGTGCTATTGTATTTAAACTCTCCATAGAGATATTAGACCCCATCCTTTTATTTACCTTGAATCCCCAAAGGACTAACATTGCCTCTCAATGCTGGCACATGATGGTACTGGTGTGGCCTTGAACTCCTGTACATCCATTGGTACCTGCCAATTTCCATTTCTGGTCTGGTGATCACTGCCAATTTTAGGTGGTAAAAAGTCAGTGTCTCCAGCAAAGTTCAGTTTTACTTTATACTTTCATTTAATTCAGTTTTAATATCAAAACAAACAAAAAAAAAACAGGAAAAGGAGCAGGAATACAGAAATCTATGTAGTCATACCCATATATCAATTAGATGAGGAAAAATTAACTAGCATCAGATCTACAGATACTAGTAAAACATATAAGATGTGTCAGATTCTTGAAAACATATATAAATTCATGTTTTAAAATGTTTCCATCCTCAACAGTAACCAAACTCTAGAATAGCTTTTTTATTTGTTGCATTGCATTTCTACCCTTATACATCCACCATTACTTTACTGGCAATACATCCTTCTATAGCATAGGATAGGAAGAGTAATATAATCTGTGAGAAACCCTGTTTAGTATTTTTAACTTTTCACCAAATCTAACTGAGCAGGATGGTTATTTTCAGATTTACAAAGTAAAATCAGAGCATAGAGAACAATCAGTGGAGTATTACACATTTCATACCTTGGGGAAACAAGGAGATAAGACAAGGTGCCATTCCAGGTTACAATAGCATCCTTTTGAGCATGTTGTATTGCTAGTCCACCGTTTTACATGTTGAACAGCATCAATTTTACCCATTATCTTTAGCAAATCCCCATCTAATCTCATGTAGCACTTTGGGTTCTATGGGGAATGAACATCTAATCTAAACTGTCCCAGAATACTGTGAGCATATTATTGGTAAATGTTATCATTTTAGTAACAATACTTTTGCATCCTTGCCTGATTTATGAATTGCCAAGACTGTTACAAAGGATTATTCCTTGAAGTGCATTGAATGTTTGTCTAGAACAGTAAACAGTATTGAGGAGAATGCAACAAATTCTTTAAAGGAAAAGAGGGAGTTTCTGGAAAACTATCTAAAGTGCATTGATTTTGTAAAAGCTCTGGAAATCACAGTCAAAATGAAGGAAGACAGTGAATCACAGTGATTGTTCAAATATTTTATTCAGGCTTTTCTGGGAGTTTTGTAAACCAACCTTGAGTTATGTTTGATTAGGAAATAACTAAACTGCTTCAGTTTTCCCCCAATGTAAGCCAGAGTAAAATTCAATTAAATTCAATTGGAGCTACAATGATTACAATTTCATGAAATGCCCATGGACAACCTATTGAGTTGAAATACTTTACATCCAATCCCATAACACCAACCTTGATTTCCCTAAACCTAAGGGATCTAGGATGTAAGACCTTAAGAACAATAGACAGAAATCCAAACAACAAACTGTCTTTATCATCATGGATTGAGTTATTTTTCCATTTAAAAAAAGGCTCTATCTTACAGAGTTAATTACTTTCTAGTGTATCTTTCTAACTTATTCAGTTGTTACTTCATTTCCCACTGCTGAACAATCAGTCCCCTGTTTGCAGAACCACAATGGATGCCACAGCGACTGAGCATGAGCTAAAACAAATAAAATGTACGTGAGGTTGCTCATACATAGCAATTTTAGCACATTTGGTTTACAGAGATATCCAATGTATTTCTGATCCTTGCAATTATGGCTCTTTCACAGTAGATTCCTTCCTTACTCCAAAGTAAGAAAGATTTCTTTTCCTTAAAGTAGTGTAAACAAAATAAAAATGAAAGTTCCATATTGCTTTCAATGTAGCACTAAAGGACAGTGTCCTTCCTCAAGTTTAAGATACTTCTGTAACATCTACTCAGAAATAAGCACAGGTTCCTTCGCAAGGTCAGATAAAGTTAATTTCAGTGATAGCCCTGTAGTATCGCTTCATATTGTTCCTAGCCAGGGAGATATAGCGTAACTTGTCCTTTGAATATCCTCTCTGAATTCCCCTAGTTTCAGTGAACAGAAATTGACATTGGGGCAACTCAGACTAGATAGTCAAGGATCAATTATTCATTAAATCAGCAGCTAGGATCCACAAGAAGCAATCACATAGGCTGAAACTGAAAAAAAGGAAGTGTTTATTCCAAGGGAACAGAAGCCCCCAAAAGCCTTAGTATGCCTTTTCTATTCACATGGAAGGTGCTAAGAGTTTCAATTACCTTTAGTTACAAGCACAAATCATGGGGGAAAATCCACATGTGAACAGAATGTGGAAAACACTGGACTTCAGTGATCTACTTCCACACTAGCCTTTTTCCTGGAACTGCCATCTTCTCTTGACTTCTTATGGAACTGACATCTCTTGACTTCTTATGGAACATCTAGATGACTTCAAGAACTGAGTGAACAAGGGGTGACAATTCCACAGAAAATGGCTACTATGAAAGCAACTTATGGGTTCCTCCAAGATTTTGAAACCTTTGCTACAAATACCCAGAACAATGGAGCTTTTTCCTACATGAAACAAATGACTATAATATGCTTAGCAGAGCATTACTTTCGCAGTGGGCATGGACAAGTGGTATGCAACCTAAAACCTTCCAGATGTTCCAGACTATAACTCCAATAATTCCTGATCATGGTTGATGTTGTCTTATGAGAACAGTGGTCAGGAATATCCAGAAGATTCCAGGTTGCCTACCCTGCACTTGGCCCATCTAAAATTTTAGCAAAATGTAGATATCTCAGACAAATTTATTTTAACCAACACAAAGCCTTTTAATAACTGTGTTCTTGCTCCCTTGCTTTACTCTGGTCGGTGTCCTTCGGGCATATGATCAAGCTCTTAGTGTCAGCACTCAGGAACATCCTTAAATCATTACTAGGAACTACATCAGACAAGGGGGTCTTATGAACAGGAGGCAGGTCAGGGGAGAGGAGGAAGGTGCCATCAGCACAAACGGTGCCCCAGAACCTGAGTCCACTGTTAGACCAAAATCAGCAGATTCTGAAGTTCATACAAAACTTCCACAGCATTAAGGGCATTCTAAAATATTAACTGAAGCCCACTTGGGCCTGGAAGGGATAAAAGAAGCAAGATACAGTTTTCAAAGACATATTTCTTTTCCAATAAGCAAACTGAAAAGGCTGCATGTTCCTTGTAAGCCTATCCATGGTGTAATCTTCCTGTTCTAAAAGACCATTTAGAGAGAGCGGATGATGCAATTTCTTTAAACTTCTCTATATATGTATGTATATAATCCTCATTCATGTTCCCTGCATTTGAACACACAAACTGCATGCCTGTGTACACCCACACCCACACACAAAACCCTCATCCAAAGTCTCTCAGGTATATTTAACTAAGGGACATATTCAAATGCTTCTTATTTCCTTACAGCACAATCTTACATATGTTTATTCAAAAGTAAGTCCCATTAAGTTCATTGCAGCTTACTTCCAGGCAAATAGTCTAAAAACTGATTTGCTTTATGGAATGAATGTATTATGAAGCATTTTCTGGAGTTTTAAAAAAATCTAAAATATCCTGATGGCCTGTTTGCTTCAAACATGCACAATTAATTGTTGTGATATTTTTCAGCTGTGTGTTACTAAGTATTTTTTTAAATTAAATACAGACATCTTGTCTCTGTTAATATATATCAGGATGTATTTTCTCTTCTGCTGATGTAAAATGGCATTCATTTTACCCATTTATTCCATCTCAGTAAGTCCTCCTACCCCATCCTCAGTTTTTGATTTAATTTAATGCCCGCAAGATAAATCCTGTCATTTACAATAATTTATAAATCTTCAGCTTTAAACGCATTCAATCTGTCTTGCAGCTCTGTAAAATATCTGCTCAACAACTACACAGACAGTATTCATGGGCTAGTCCTCTGATAAGAATTCCTGATATTTTAGAATAAAGCAATCCGTTAACATGAGTGTCATTCAGTTTCCCAATTAAAATAATGGTAAAGGCCATAATGGCTTATCTCAAAAGACACAGAATGCTTAAGGGTACTGCAAAGCAAACAATTGTGCATTTTTAACCTAAAGGAAGGGCTTTTAATCTTTTCATACAGAGCTAGAGTTAAAATTAGTACAATTATGGTACATTTCATTAAAAACATATACTTTAATTACACATTCACCAAAAGCTAATTTCTATGTTCTCAAATTCATATACCTTCATAATACACTGGATTGAAACATTAGACACTTTTCTGCATCTTACCATTTCACATTCTGTGGGGAGGTGAAACAAGCCCTGGGTTTCATGCAGGACATGTTGGACACAGTTAGATCCCCCCAAAATTAAATGCTCTTAAGTTTATCATGCCTAACATTTCATGTTGACTTCATTGGCTAAGACTAACTTGTTCTTGCTCCAAGCCATTCAATCGATATTTCTCTGTTTAAGACTACAGATTGCTTTACATAACAGTTACTGCTTTTGGGTTTGGTTAAAATTGTTATGGCTTCCTTGACTGCTTGAAAAAAGGGAACTCTAGGTACAATCCACTTGATATTTAAACCAATAGCAAAACTCCCACAGCTGTATATCAGCCTTCTACTATCTGGTTCTTTCCATATGTATTAGTCAACAACTCCCATCATTCCCAGCCAGCAAGGCCACCAGTTCAAAGAAGGCTGATGTAGACAGAATAGAATTTCACCCAAAGTGGGTGAATATTTTATTGGCATAGAAGATCATATTTAAAATGTACACAATTACTGGTAGCAAACATGTGAACATGTGGATCTTCAAACACATAGCAACAGCAGGTTCACTGTTGTAAAACTGATCAATAAAAACCATAAAAATGATTCCACTGCCTGGACAGGTTTTCAACATGTATCTGTGTCTATTTTTTTTAACACACAGTGCTTGGAATTTGCATTACTTTTTGAAGTTTACAATTCAGATGCAGATTCTCCAGTTTGAAAGGGGTTACTTCATTTATTTACATGTGCATTATATTTACACTAAAATAGTTGTATCTCTTGTGTATAACAAATAGTACAAGGAACACACAGCAATTCCATAAATATTTCTGGGTGTAAAATGCTATAAACAAAGTTTAGGGGGAAATCTAGAGAAATTATATGTCCCTAAGTTCTGCTATAAGATTTAAAGCCTGAATTGGACATTATATCTCATGAAGTTCAATAAGACATTATAGTGGGTATTTAATTGAAGCATGTAAATGAAAGTAAGTTTTTTAAAATTATTATGTAAAACATAAGCTGTCAGAGTCATGTCTGCTTTCTATTTGGGGGAAAGTATTTCATATTTGTTTATCTGCGGAATACTGTAATTCTCAAAGAGGCAAATTAAGAATACAAAGTACAAGGACTGCTATTGCTTGCTTTTAAAAACTTACATGTGAGTTAAATCCTAGAAAACCATATATGAAATATATCCAAATAACTCTGTAAAGTTAACAAGTTAGGGTATCATCATGCAATCAGAGGTAAAATTTAGAGCAACTCCCGAAGCCTGGATGATCTGTTAAAAGAGACACACTCCATAGTTGCTATGAAATGCACCATCTTCCCAAAGTCTATGAAAGGATCTCAATGAGCCCAAGAAGACTAAATAAGAACCCCCCTTCCCCCCAAGTTTCAGGGGGATAAAATTCAACATGGCATAAAGACTTACTGTTAAAAAAAAAAAAAAAACATTAACAGTGCTTCAGATCTATCTTACTAAACTTCTTTGCACGGGTGGGATGGTGGAGAAAATAATGACCATATGCCTGAGACTCCAGTCCTAAACCCATCCATGTGGACATTTCACTTACACAAAGGAAATCAATTTCTAAGTATACTTGTTCCAGTCTAAAAAGTACATAGTATATTATTTAGCTCACTTAAGCAGCAATGTTCAATGTATTTTAACATTCAAAAGATCTTTGTTTATGAAGCCTTCTTTAAAAGCTGTACAGGCTTTGAAAACTTTTTATACAAAGCACCTGCAACTTAGCTTTATGTTTTAAAAAATCTTCAATTAGGATAGTCACTGCCGTGGTGTAGTTGTCGCTTTGCGTAATTTAATCTCTTAGCACAGTCATGTTTTATGTAGAATCTCTAGGGTATTATTTTATATCATGGTCTAACTGCTTGCCAAATTGCACTTTACTGAAACTGAAGCTCTTCTTATATCCAGTGAGCAACACAGTTAATTTGTAGAATATGGATCCCAACATTTTCACTGCACATTTAATTAACAGATTCATTTGTAGTCATTCTAAACCAGTAACTTAGAGATAGTAATTATCAGTTCAGGAGGGTTGGCATGAAATGCTAAAATGCCACCAGTAACACATAATAGGCACAACAGGTCCTCCACTGATTTGTACAGAAGAAATTATCAATGCTGAATACAGTCCTCTCTCCCGTAATGTATGTGCATTCCCTTTTAACTCAACAGCTTAACTCAACAGCAATAAATAGCTGCAATTTTCCCTAGCTTCCTAGAAAAGAGAGTAATCAATTGCGACAATACAAGTTATTAACTTTGTAAATTTAGCATATGAAGCATTCATTTTTTAGAACAGCAAATTGCCAGCATCACCCAAATTCTCTATCTTGCTACACAGCCATTTTCTGATTGGTAAATCTGGGTTTTGAAGCACCTCTTCCCAAGCACTGTGATGCCCATTATCCATATTTTTCCATATTACTGCTCTATTCTCCTTCATTATACTAAAGTGATTACACAAATGCAAGATATAGGTGCCAAGACAGTAAAAGGTGAAAAAGAATTAGATGTAGTAATTCTACATTAATAGAAAGCTTCAATGTTACCATCATACCAGATTGCAAAACCCCCTTCTTAAAACACAAAATGTACAAAAAAGGCATGCATATATACACAAAGGGTTATTTTTTGTAAATGCCTAAACACACAGTATGGCTTTCTCATGGAGTTAGAGATGATTGAAAATGCCAACATAGAGATGAAGGGATAGATGCCTGCTTGGTTAATCTGCTGTCACAGAAAAATATAAACCACTGAGAGCTAGACGATGGAATAATTATCATTTAAGCACTGCTCTAAAGAGAGTGACAAACACAGCCTAAATCTTTCACTGAAGGTTCTTAAAAAGATTTAAACAGTTTATTGTTTGGTCCTCTGGGTACCTTTTTTCTCTTGGCTTTGTTCTGTATTTTCCTCTGCTGCAGTTTCCATGGCTGGCTTTATACCATCCACCAAAAATGCTTTCGCTCCCCGCCCCCAGCAAAGACTCTCTTTTCTTTCTTCCTTCCCTTCTGTCTCTTATTTACCGCTGCAGTGATTGAGTGGCTCAGCTCCTCACTACAGTAGATTTCACTCTTTTTCCAAAATCAGCTTCAGTTTTGATTTGCCTACTGGTCCATAAGGTTCTTTGCCAGGAAACACTCAGCCATACGTCAGAGTCCTCTTCAGTTATAAAACTGCAGGGCTGTGCTCAGTTGTCTCCCATCTCCCTGTGTATTTGCAGTGGGAACCTGGAGAATCAGCTAGCCTCCCATGTCTCTCCCATGCTTTTCACTTTTCTTTTCTCCCTATGAACGTTAAATCAATTCTCCGGTGAAGGGGAGATGTGTGACATCAGAAAAGGGGCAGCATCTGAAGGAGTGAAAGAGGCCCCCTCCTGTTGCATGACTCAGCGGTGACTCGAGCCCCTCTTCATATGCCATCTCTAAGTCCGTGTCATCAAACAACAAGGTTCGCTCTCCCGTGAGATCCTATTATTGTGCTTGAATTTTGATTTATTCCATATGCCCTGCCCCCATTCTTATACAGAACAACAGCTTGTGCCCATTTCCTGCACTTTAGCTTTTGGCCTGAAGGATGGATAGTTGCAATGCAAATTTTGAGCATGTATGCCCACAGAATAAATATACTAGTGCCAATGATCACAGCTTTTTATATTTTGAGGGCAGCTGGACATTAGAACAGAAATTCAGATAGGTGGATAAAGATGTGCAGGTGAGACTGTGTGATTTCTCAGATCTCACAGTATAGTTCCAAAAGTTAGTCCAACCCATCAGTCGCACAATACACAATAGCATTCTTACTTAAATGTAAGCTGCAAAAGACTAATGGATGATCTCAGTAAATGACATGCTGTAATCAGCATGCAAGATGTGTTTTTTTTTTTAATGCTCAGTTTTTCGAAAGGTAACACTCACTTAAAGTTCTCCGTAGATGTGTCCTTTCAAAACAGATTTATCCAAACATACAGTGCATCATTATCCCATGCAATAGATACTGGAAGATTTTTTTGCAATCCAAACATCTTTTTTGGTCAGTTTTTTATTTGGTTGGTATTCTGCAATGGAAACCTGGGAATGAACGTCCAAGGCAGATGTTTAGCTCCTAAAAGAACTGCATTCTCAAGTTGATGGAAAACCAAAGTAAGTGTTTATCTGAAGGGGGGCATTTGAACATATTCCCAAAAACGTAAGTCCTCTTCATGTGGAGAGCATGCCCATTGGTGAGCTCCTCCTATGCTAGGGTTCCATATCTGGGGACTGTTTTCTGCATCTCTTCCAGTTGCATTATGAAATGACCGAGATCCATCAGCACTATACCACATGCTTTTCCCTTTCCTATTTCCTCTCCCAGCAAAGCAAGCTAGGCAGTAAGGGTCTCACTGATGAAGCGAAAATCTCAGGTGAAATACAAACCCAATTAGCTTAATGGGAGAGCTGCACTTCAGTTCGCAAAAGGAACGCTTTTGAACCGCAAAGCAACTTTTCATCCACAGAAGTTTCTCACCTGTCTCCCCCAGAATGTCCTCTACCTACTGGGTGTGAAGCAGGGTGAAACTTTCCACAACCACATGGATTTTTCCTTTATTGTAAAACTCATCTGCCCAGCCCTATTTTGGAATACCTAACTACACTTACCATTTCAGTATCAGAATGTAATTTCTGCGAAACTACACTCTCTGCATTCTCTAATGCAGATCTCCAACCATGTATTCAAGAGGTTGAATACATGGAGCTGTATGCAAAGTGAAGTGTCCCATTACCTGAACAGCATCATATGTCTTTTCTGTGAGAAACACCTCTAAGAAAGCTAGATTTCTTTTAATTTCTAAAATACAACTTCATTTAAAAATACATTTCCACTGCTTCATCTGACAAGTACAAAGATTTTAATGCTGAGATATAAGCAGTAGCTTCCTTCCAGCCACAAAGCATCCATAGCAACCTTGTATGATGCATCACTAGATCTGTATGTTTTTCCCACCCTTCACCTCCACAAAGATTCCTTATCCTTTCTTTTCTTCAAGCCCAATGCTCACAGGGCTAGCTTGTAGCAGGGAGACTGGTCAGTGATGCACCATATCCAAACTACTCCAAGGGCTTTTATTTATTTAGGATATTTTTATCCCATCCTATACCAATTGTCTCTGGACGGCTTACAATTTAATAAATAAACAATAAATACAGCATACAAGGCATTTATAGCACATGATCGCAACATGGTCATTTGTGGGCTCTTTAGATGCAAGCATAATGCTCCAGATTCACTTCTTTTTTTGAAGAACCTTTTTTACAGGATGGGGAAATGGGGATTATTATATTCAAATGGGTAAATGGTGCTATTTCTTCTCATGTGTTAGAGTTATTCCACTATAGTACAGTTCCACCTATAGGTTAGGAATGTCTAGAAACTGAATGTCAGTGCTGTGGTGAAACAGACAACATGCAGCAACTGATAACTTGTGTAGAAAAGTCCCAAAGCGAAACGAAGTGACACAAAACTTAGAAGAAATGTGGCGAATACAGGACATGCTAGGGCCTTAAGAGAAAGCCAAGCACAAAAGAGAAGCAACACATTTTAACATCTTCTAAAAATCAAGGTATTTGAAACGTATTACAGGGCAATGTTACAGGAAAATGTGTATGCAAATAAGTCAACTTTATGAATCCTGCCATCAACCGGGAGCAAAATATTTATTTTGTCTGCTAGCCAGTCCCCATAACTTTGGAAAAAGCAAGTCAACAGAGCAGCATTGCTTCAAAACTGCAAAACCTTACCTCTCTCTGTGAGAAGCCTGATTAGTAGGCCTGATCAGAGCCAAACCAAGACATTTGCCCAGAGACAAGGACAAGATGGTAGTTCTCCCGGTGCATGCACAACAGGTGACTGGCCTGGCAGTTGAATTCTTTGGTCCCAGCAATACTGCAGCACCCACTTCTGCTCCCGAAGGAGCACAGGCTGCCTGGGACACGGCTCTGTCCCAACACCACCGCCAGCAACTGTCACCTGAAAGGATTGCCTCACTTTGCCTAATGGCAGGGCCAGTCCTGCTACTGAGCACCTGTGCCTAAGTCTTTTCAGGTAACGATCCTATGCAAATTCAGACTGCAAACTGTTACACAACTCCCAGCATTCCCTAGTCAACCTGCCTTGGGAAATGTTTAGACTGGAAAGTCCCACATGTATAGGATTTCACCCTTAAAGTACACATTTCAACATTGGTGAGAGTTGCCCTACCCTCTTCCTTCCTTCCTTCCTTCCTTCCTTCCTTCCTTCCTTCCTTGGCAGAATAAACCAATGTGTGATGATAGGAGGGAGAAGTGGAACACGTCTAGAGTACTGATTCACTCACTCACTCATATAAAAAATGTAACACCACTTCTCAAAATGAGATCAGTGGTTCAGCATCTTTGGAAAGACAGTTCTACCACTGTTGGGACTGGGCACAGCATCTCTGTGCAGACTGGATCTGATCCTGATTCAGACTGGAAGGAGGGGAAGCTACCAAGGAATTCAGGCCACAGGAATGAAACATGAGTGAGAATAGTTGTGATAATCAAGGCGACCCTTTGAAACTGTAGGACTGTAGAGGGGAGAAAGGGGTGGAGGGACTCAGGGATCCAAGAGTGAGAGGTCAAACAAAGGGAAGCTCAGTGCAGCATTCTAAGTGACTGGCCACAAGGGCTGCCACCATGTGGAAGGACCAGCCCTTAAAGCAGGGCTTGGTAGCCCATCCAGCTTGATCCTCCGGACTAATTTCATGTCAGTTTTCATTTATGATACTGTAAGTGTAGAGGTATAGCATTAAGCTATTTGGGCTCTGATCCTTTGACTCTTTTGTTTGTATATGTTTCTAGTCTGTACCCTGAGGCCAGGCTTGTGCGACCATAATTTACACATAACAGCTAACTGATTGGAACGACAACAGACAGCCTGTCTACCAAAAGTGAAGGAGGAGGCACCTGACAGACACATTTTATAACTCTGATACTTCCTCTGATATTCAGGATGGTACGCAATATACTGTACACAATAATTCCATCGCTTATCCTCACAATAATCCTGTGCTATCAGTTGGAGGGTGCGGGGAATGAGCACAGGTATGAGAGAGCGAGACTAACCCAAGGTCTAAGAGTGGCACAGCCCACCAAATGTTCACAGCATGCCAGGAACCCTGGATCGTTAGTATATGCAAACCTTTCACCACACTGAACACAGGTAGTTTTGTATTGTCTCAGCAAACGCTGCCAATACTGAAGTGCGTATCATACAAGTCAAATTTTATTTTATTATATCATATGCCAGTTGTATAATTCATAACACAATTTACAGAGCTTCTAGAGCTCTAGCAGGATTTGGCTTTTCGAGGTTGCATACTTTTTATTTCTAATTTACAGAAAAGAAAAATCCCCAATCTAGCAGAATTTGAGTTGAGAAGTCCCTCTTTCAGCCATTTTTACTTGATGTTCCACTTTTTAAAAAATATGGCTTGGTTATCATGCAAAAATGGTAAGCAGAGCTATTTGCCATCTGTTGAAGCAGAGCACACATTTTTCTGGTTGCTCTTCCCTCCCTTTAATTATTCTTCAGAAATTCTTTACTACAATAGTGGATGACGTGCTTCCAATTTATCACTGCATTCTGCGCAGGCACAGATTTGCCACTGAGTTTCATATTAGTCCATCTTCTATGTCTGTGTGTCAAATGACTTCAAGCAAGGCTATTTTTTCAAGTTTCCATTCTCTTGTCTTTCCACAACCTACAGAAGAAACCTTAGTTCAGGTAGTGCCTCTGATAGAATTTAATGCCTACATAAAAGTAATGGTCCTTTTTGTATTTCAAAATGCCCTTGAGAATGTGGTTCAGGGCCAATGTCTACTAGAGACTGATAGCTCTCCTTCACTCACTTCACCATGGTACCATGTAGATTAAAAGCAGGCCTTTTGCTGCTCCAAGTGATTTTTTACAATCTATTTTTAAACAAAATGTTTTCTAGTGCATCTTGAAGGGAGGGACACAAAGTAATGCCCATATGGAGGCCAGGTTACATTTTGCCTGAGCACTGTCAAATCTAGGAACAGGGGGGTCTCATATGCACAATGGACCTGAACACAAAAGCCCTGTAGGGTGAGCTGAGAAGAGTAGCAGCCTTGATTTTGCATCTCTAGATTGGCTGTCAAGTAAATTGCACTGCCAGAGGACGACTACGGACAGTATTTATTCCTAAAATTTTGTCTGTCCCACTCAC